AGCTACGTTGTGACGGATACAAGGAGCTGATGTTGGTATCACTGGCCTCCATGCCACCTAGACAGCTGTGAGCACTGGACGCTTCACTGAGCGTACGTCGCTTCTGTCTACACAAAGCTTGCGGCAGCCGCTCCTCCTCCCTGGTGTGCACCACCCTCACATCCTCAGACTCAAACACTGTCTGTCTAGATGACTCTGACAGCTCCTCACACTCCGAGCTACTGGCTTCAGATCCTGTACAGTAGACATCTATGTGGACAGTGCGTGGTTGTTTCTTCTTGCCATCGCTTGTGCTGTTCTGTTTGTTCATAAGAGGAGACTTCCCTCTGAGTCTTGCTGGTGATCTTGACAGCTTCTGAAATACAGAATAGGATTAGTCATTATAGCCTTCAAGATACTTCTTAGATCTATTTGATAAAGGTTTGTTGTTGTTTATGGTCGTTGTATTTCTGGTTATTTTGGAAATACTAAACAGTATAATAGTTAGGGTTTTGTTTGGGATTTGAAAACAGTAGTCTAGTTGTTTGATTTAATTTAAAGGAATATCATCAATTTAATTGTTTTTCTGAATAGCTGAGTTATATGAACTTTGAATGCTGAACTGACATGCAACTTCCCCCTAACTTGTTTTTTTTCTTCCCTAAATGAGTCCAAACCACCAGTAAAAACATGACATCCCACTACCAGGGTCAAAATTTTTGAGGGCTTAAATTTGAAATGTTCCTACAGAGAATTAGGCTCTTTCTCTTAAACGTTTTTGATACTAAGAACAATCCACAAACTATCTTTGGTGGGGATGGTTTGCATTGGTTATTATGAGTGTGTGAGAGTATCGTTACCTTACAGAGAAATTATTGGTTTCACAACTTGTAAAAATTAATTAATATAATAATAGCAAGTTACTTGTTTAGGTCTTGCTACTTTAATTAAAAATATTTGCTACATCATTAGCACATGTGGTTTACTAAAAATGTCTAGTTTGCCGATCTACAGAATTATTGGCAGTAGCATGAAATTAATTTTTAAAAAGGATCACTTAACTTACCCTTTGTGTTTTTCCCGGTGGTGTCTCAACTCCTGGAACCTTGAGCCTGTTCTTTTCTTCATCCGACACCAGTAAAGGTGGGGAGAATATTTGAGAAGTCTGCGAAGCCACAGTCTTAGTTCCCATAGTCTTGTCAGGCACTCGAGTGCAGAAGTGTGAGGTGAACGTGTGTGCGCGGCGCGACGGGCTGTGTCGTCCACCACTGCACACATCGCACTCGTCGCGTGGCTCGCAGGACAAGGTCACTGTGTGGTGACATCGTGCAGGAACACTCGGCTGCGCAGGGTCCAGTGTTATGTTACAAGTACTCATACATCTGCGTCCGTAAGGTTGTGGCGTCCTGCGGACAGGTAGACTGCTGCTGTCACCTGGAGGTTTTGTTGTGAACACAATGTTTCCCCGTTGGAACCCATAGCACGGATGACCTGCGGGACGCGGGGCTACAGGAGGGATATTGGCTTCCAAGTGTGTTCCTCCATGTGAAAATGTCAACTTGGCGTGAACCGACCATTCCTGCTCAATGTCTGCTGGCCTACCTGCCATTTTTTATGACCAATTTGTCTTTACATTTCAATCTTGAAAATATTAAACTAATTTTACGTAGCTAAAATGTGTCAATTGGCAAGACAGTTATTTCTTTTAAATGATTTTTAGATACCAATTTAGTCATAAGTCGTTTTCTACACTCATTAATGAATAGTAAAGGCTCCATTGCAAAATCAGGACACTAGTTTCATCACCCTACCATTTCCTAACCTCATCAACACTATAATTAAGTAACGATTAGAGAACATATTTAACTTATCTGTCACTACATTTTCAACACAGCTGGAATGCACAAACGGTTATCACTGAAAACATTGTAACATTTTAACACTGGTAGGAAAGACTTGTTGCAAAACCATCGGCCGAGAGAGTAGAGCAAATGAGAACGCACAGAACGGTTCCATCTGCTGGCACGAGGCCAGTCAACACGGTGGACGAGACCGAGGAGAACGAACGGAATGATCCTTCGACAGCAACATTTGCTGATCCTACCACACTCTCGGTCTACCGATCACATTTTTTTACGGAAAACAAGAGTGGTATGTGCGGGCAAGGTGTAGAACTACGTCCGGGAATAGAGTGATAGCTGGGATGGAGAGGCGCCAAGCCTTGCTATTTTCAGCCACTCCTACACTGTCGCTGCACTACATTCATAATTACCAAGCCATCAATATTCCATATTGCGAAACTAATAAACTGTCGGGTCACTGAGTTTATTACCTATTCTATACTAAGTTAATCAAAAAATTGTCACAAACACATAACTTATTTGAAGACTGCCTGCTGATCCCAATTATGTAACTTAAGGTAGATTTGAGCATGTTGTAAGAGATTTAAGAATAACTAGTTCTTACTACAATTAATAGGCTACTAACATGTAAATATTTTTTTTTTTATTGAGTCTCTGGTTACTTTTATAGATTAAAACATATAGTTCAGATTAAACTCTAGTTTGATTTGAAAATAAATATAAAAAAGAGGATATAACATTTATGTATTGTAAGCAACTGGTGAAATATATTGCAATAAAATTTGATAATGGTTAATAAATCATGAAACTTGGAACAAAACAAACAGTATGCATAGGTGCAAAATGTGCATGTTCTTAGAAACCACAAATGAATTTGTTACACTAACTCTAGCATGGTTGAGTGTGGTCACACTCGCACACAGTTGGAAGAAATTTAACGATAACTTTAGCGTACGTAACAAGGAATGTTTTTGTGTTAATATGTACAATTTTAGATACTTAAATACATTTGAAAACAGAGGGATGTATTCAAAAAGCTGATTATAGTTTATTCGGTTTCATAATGTTAATAATATCAGTAGGTTCTTATAATAGGTTTAAAAGTTTATTGAATGAACTTAAATAATATCATTTATCAAGAACCCATCATGTCTCCTAATAAATTTGTATATGACGGTAAACAGAATACAAGCTGAATAAAAAATCAAATGTAGAGGGATTCAAGTATTAAATCTAAGAGTTGTTTACATTTTATATCGTAAATGAACAAACTATTTTTTATAATAAAAGTTTATGAATTGGTTGAAAATTTATTTTTGGATTTAGGATTAAACCATTGCAGGTTACTGAGCCACAACAGGATACTTATTGGCAATCGATTGAAACAGTTGCATAGACTGAGGTAACTGGCAATATTACAAGAGTGAACGACCCCATTGGCTTTCCATTCTACCATCAAGCCAGAATATCCTCTCCTAAATTATTCGGTCAAATGATTAAACACAATGTTTGATCTAAAATATTAAAATAAAGGAGAAACTCTAGATTAGTACAGATTCAGAATATAGGTAAAAAATTCATTCATTGTAATTTATTTGCAAAACCAAAACATATATTTTCTCTTTTGGTGATCATGCCCGTATGGTGTTATGTATGGGGTCTGTGAGCCTTCGTACCGGCAAGCATGTTGGGCTCAGTGCTCGCCTCGTCGGACCTGACGAGCCCGAGCCCCAACACAAACATGCTTGCCCGTCTATGGGGACGACCAACATGTTCACGAGCATACATGTCACAAGTATGAGAAATATGTCTGATAATGTCTTCAAAATAATTTTCAGTCATCCTCAGATAGTTTTTATAATCATTTGGTTCGTTTGCTGCTAGTTCTGCTAAAAGCGACATGTGACTGAACTGGTTCCTGATTTTAAGCTAATTCTTGCACCATATTTTTTGTGGGTTGGGTTTTTTTTTCATCTTTAAAACAAAGAAAACCACCGCAAATAGCCACAAGAGCGTTAGCATCCATTTTGAACACAACTTGACCGTCACAGCGCGAGAGAAGCATGAGTACTGTGCAGTGGTGGCGAGCATGTTCATGAGCACGCTCGATCGTCTGCTGGAAACGCCAAAAGGAGACCTTATGCTGCTTTTTTACCATTCAATATCAGCTGATTTTTTAGCATGTTTGATCAACAATCCTAAGTCATGATAATTGTCTTGTTTAAACCTTGGAATGGCTTATATCCTTCAATTAAGTGTCTTATTATGGACAGGAGAGTTAATAAATCACTCAGCAGGAACACACACTACAAATTCAATTATGCAGTAATATCATTGGTTCATGTTAGTGGTATTATCAGTAAAGTCCATTCTTGTACTGAGCCAGCTCACCTCTGTTTTGCATTAAACGTTATTTACACAAGCTCAGAGCACAAGAGCAACAAATGCAAGGTTTAAAGAGACTGTCAACCTCCTAAAAAGGTGTAACTGGAATAAATAGCAAACACATAAATCAATCAGCTAACCAACCAACACAGAAAAAGAAACAACAAGTAATATTTTTAAATCTTTAAATAACTATCATGATAGGCTATACTTAATTGAGAGTAAATCGTCTAAACACAAATAATAGTCTACAAATAACCTGCATTTTTATACTCTGTGAATCAAGAACAATAGAGCTAGGTAAGGGGACCAAAAGAGTATATAAATAACTGTAAATGCCCAAAACCACAAAAGACCTAACTAATGAAGACTTCCTGTTGGCATGAAATTTTGCAGATGACGAAACCAATTCTAAATGCCGTGGGTGCTGAATCTATAGTACTAACTTGAAGACATGATTTAATAGAGTGTGTATACACTTAAACTGATCAACTACACTATCGATAGCACTCAGCCTTACAATGTTTAATTGAATAATAATTATTATTTGCAACTGAATCAAATAACATTCCCATCCTAATCATATAAGCCTGTTATCCTAACAAACATCCTCAAGCTCGTTGTGCTCTATGAAACATCTTTACCCTTCGCTTTATTACTTAAGATACTTTAGTCTTAGCAACTGTTTTGAAAGGCGAATGGAAGCTTAAGAATAGACCCCGCTTAGTATTTTAGGCTTTAGTTTTTATAAACTTCAAAGGACCTAGGGCCTACCTCTTGTAGGGCTTTCTTGTCAGCCACTTTAGAGCTCTGCAGCAGTCTGATGACATTCTTGGCTCCTTCCACCACAGCAGCTTCTATCCTCAGCCTGTGTCGCAACTCTTCCACTCTCTCCTCCAGTGGGAGCTCCAAGTTGCTCTCCACCTTATCTGTAACAAGACCATAAAGGTTACTTCCACCACAGCAGCTTATATCCTCAGCCTGTGTCGCAGCTCTTCCACTCTCTCCTCCAGTGGGAGCTCCAAGTTGCTCTCCACCTTATCTGTAACAAGACCATGAAGGTTACTTCCACCACAGCAGCTTCTATCCTCAGCCTGTGTCGCAGCTCTTCCACTCTCTCCTCCAGTGGGAGCTCCAAGTTGCTCTCCAACTTATCTGTAACAAGATCATGAAGGTTACTTCCACCACAGCAGCTTCTATCCTCAGCCTGTGTCGCAACTCTTCCACTCTCTCCTCCAGTGGGAGCTCCAAGTTGCTCTCCACCTTATCTGTAACAAGACCATGAAGGTTACTTCCACCACAGCAGCTTCTATCCTCAGCCTGTGTCGCAGCTCTTCCACTCTCTCCTCCAGTGGGAGCTCCAAGTTTCTCTCCACCTTATCTGTAACAAGACCATGAAGGTTACTTCCACCACAGCAGCTTATATCCTCAGCCTGTGTCGCAACTCTTCCACTCTCTCCTCCAGTGGGAGCTCCAAGCTGCTCTCCACCTTATGTGTAACAAGACCATGAAGGTTACTTCCACCACAGCAGCTTCTATCCTCAACCTGTGTTTTAACTCTTCCACCCTCTCCTCCAGTGGGAGCTCCAAGTTGCTCTCCACTTTATCTGTAACGAGACCATGAAGGTTACTTCCACCACAGCAGCTTCTATCCTCAGCCTGTGTTTTAACTCTTCCACCCTCTCCTCCAGTGGGAGCTCCAAGCTGCTCTCCACCTTATCTGTAACAAGGCCATGAAGGTTACTTCCACCACAGCAGCTTCTATCCTCAACCTGTGTTTTAACTCTTCCACCCTCTCCTCCAGTGGGAGCTCCAAGCTGCTCTCCACCTTATCTGTAACAAGACCATGAAGGTTACTTCCACCACAGCAGCTTCTATCCTCAACCTGTGTTTTAACTCTTCCACCCTCTCCTCCAGTGGGAGCTCCAAGTTGCTCTCCACTTTATCTGTAACAAGACCATGAAGGTTACTTCCACCACAGCAGCTTCTATCCTCAACCTGTGTTTTAACTCTTCCACCCTCTCCTCCAGTGGGAGCTCCAAGCTGCTCTCCACCTTATCTGTAACAAGGCCATGAAGGTTACTTCCACCACAGCAGCTTCTATCCTCAACCTGTGTTTTAACTCTTCCACCCTCTCCTCCAGTGGGAGCTCCAAGTTGCTCTCCACTTTATCTGTAACAAGACCATGAAGGTTACTTCCACCACAGCAGCTTCTATCCTCAGCCTGTGTCGCAACTCTTCCACTCTCTCCTCCAGTGGGAGCTCCAAGTTGCTCTCCAACTTATCTGTAACAAGATCATGAAGGTTACTTCCACCACAGCAGCTTCTATCCTCAGCCTGTGTCGCAACTCTTCCACTCTCTCCTCCAGTGGGAGCTCCAAGTTGCTCTCCACCTTATCTGTAACAAGACCATGAAGGTTACTCCCACCACAGCAGCTTCTATCCTCAGCCTGTGTCGCAGCTCTTCCACTCTCTCCTCCAGTGGGAGCTCCAAGTTGCTCTCCACCTTATCTGTAACAAGACCATGAAGGTTACTTCCACCACAGCAGCTTCTATCCTCAGCCTGTGTCGCAGCTCTTCCACTCTCTCCTCCAGTGGGAGCTCCAAGTTGCTCTCCACCTTATCTGTAACAAGACCATGAAGGTTACTTCCACCACAGCAGCTTCTATCCTCAGCCTGTGTCGCAGCTCTTCCACTCTCTCCTCCAGTGGGAGCTCCAAGTTGCTCTCCACCTTATCTGTAACAAGACCATGAAGGTTACTTCCACCACAGCAGCTTCTATCCTCAGCCTGTGTCGCAGCTCTTCCACTCTCTCCTCCAGTGGGAGCTCCAAGTTGCTCTCCACCTTATCTGTAACAAGACCATGAAGGTTACTTCCACCACAGCAGCTTCTATCCTCAGCCTGTGTCGCAGCTCTTCCACTCTCTCCTCCAGTGGGAGCTCCAAGTTGCTCTCCACCTTATCTGTAACAAGACCATGAAGGTTACTTCCACCACAGCAGCCACTCCAAACAGGAATGTATTGTGATTTACTACTCTCTCCAATCATATTCATTACATGGTCTCAGTATGAACACAGGAGGATATGGTTGATATTTCAGCCTAACAAGATAACCATTAACCAACAAACCTCACTAATTCCTCCCCATTTTAGACTATTGTCTATATAGGACACTAGTCAACAGGCAACTCATTCAGATTACAGGAATGATCACACGTTATGGTTACCTAACAAAAAACCACATTGCTTGACGATTCACAGGAGACATAGCATGCAGGAGGTGGGGACAGTCTGAGGAGACTGCAGATCATTTACTTTATGACTGTGAATGATGAACGAGAAAGCACTCTTGGAAATATGGTAAGGGGCAATCACCTGCCTTAGGAAGAGGCCATAGCTATGATGATGCAGTTCACTAAGAACATCAGTAAGTAAAAAGCATACGAGATTCTGTAGCTACTTGTTTATGGAATAAGGTCCAACCCCACCACTTAATCAACCACGTAAAGTATGCTTATTTCAACAAAAATCAAATATGGCAATGAATTACAATATCATCTTTTTATATAATACGTGAAGGCGATTTCTACGAAACACTACTGCAAATAAATATACCTCGTGTATGGGACTCCACGTGCTTATAACTTCTCAGAGTATAAGGAATCATCATGTTCACATCTAGGCCCAGAGTTAGTTATTCGCAAGTGGTAATGGTAAAATAGCTGTAGGCCTATCGAAACTAAGTTAGAAAAACATTATGGACCTGATATAGATACTTGATGAAGGCTTGTTAATGAACAACATGACATAGTTTTAAAATTGTTAATGAATCTAAAAACACTTAGAAAAGACATTTACAATGTTTCTTACTGGTCTAAAATATTGCGTGGTAGACTAACTTGTGTTTTCAACTGCATGGGATTCCTGACAGTAAAATACTGTATTTAAAATGCATTATTACTTAATATCGTAGTCAATTTCAAATAAACTATTCTTGAATTTCTCAGATAAGGTGTACAGATTACTGTTGACATTTTTATATCTGACTGTTTAGAGCTCATTTTGAAATTGAAATTAGAAATACCCATATCAATGTTGATCAACCTTGGTGAATATTTATGAGCTTTAATATAAAGAAGTTAAAAATTACTAAACTTGTAAAAAAATTATTACTACATGATACTTCCAGTTCTCTATTCCTCATACACTGCCAACAATTAAGCCTTGAGGTTTGCCAACAACTAATTCTAGACCAGACGAATCACAACAGAAATAAGTTGAAACATCCAATTTTAAAGTTTCAAATAACAACAATGTTGAGATGTTAAAGAAAAGTTATTTTAGAAGTACTTACTTAGCCTACAAACACAAAACACTCTAACAAATGGCTACTTTACTTAAAGTTAATTCACTAAATCGAACAATCAATTACCTCATAATTTACCATCACAAATTCAATAACTTTTAGATTAGGCCTATATTAAGAAAATAACAGATTATGTTAAAATAAAATAAATTAATACAAAATTTAATTTTAAAATTTCAAAATGCACAAGAATTTTCTTAGGGAGCATAGTGAATTTGGAAAGTAAGTTTTATGAGCCAATAACATATTAATCTAGCTTTACCTTTTTTAAATAAAACTAATAGTTTTTACTAGTTTTGTTCTTTTTTAAGCACAACATAAAAATTGGCCAACAGATGCATACAAATTTTAAATTTCATGTAAGCCTGGCAAAGTGTCACACCTTAATGTGCGGTGTATTTACTGAAGGCTAAAATCATTAATGCAATCCATTTGATACTACTGCACATTTTCATTATTGACTGAATTGACTGTTTTCAGTCAATTTGTGGTTGTTATAACAAAATCAGTTAGGTACATTACAGCTAGTTCAATTTAAGTTTAGGTTGCAACTACTTCTACCGTACTTGGTTTTTATGAACAACCGCAAATCAAACTTCATTTTTAGTTTATATTTTTTTAAATTGTAACATAGTAAAAGCTCAAAAATAAGACAGTTTTTTCTATGTAAATTTCGGCTAGATTTCACTTAAGGATAAATCACACATCCTATTACAGCTGATTGATCAGTCTACGAAGACGGTGGAAGGGAAGGGGGGACTGAGCAGTGTTAGCGGCAAGCAATAGCAGCAAACCAAACCAGTACCTGCCCAGTCCCAGTGGTCATGTTGTCGTCTCCTATTATCAATTATACGTTTGATAAGAGCTTTCATGGAATGTGAAGCGCGGCGCGGACGGCCGTGTGGTAATGGCCACACTGGCACCGACCCGAGGTATATTTAGCCGCTACTTCTTACGTCTCACGTACGACATTTCGTCAACGCTAAGGCCAGGTGATTGTCAACAGGTGATAGATCAGTCTGACCATTCATTGTAAAGGTTAACTGACGACACATGTTAACTTCAAAATGATTATTGGTCATCAGTTAATTGTCCCATCAATTCAGAGTGGAAGATAAATTAGTGAAGATAAATTATAACTAAAGATAAATGTACAGTGAATCTAAGTTAGCTCTATTACTAAACTGATATTAGCTTAATTAAAAACATAATCGATAGTAAAATTCCTAATGACCAACAAAATTATTTACCATGCAATGACTACTGTATAACTAAACTGTGAACAGCTTCACTATTTATTGAACAGATTCTTTTGCCATTGGGTTTTTAATTGACGTCAACACGTTTGCCATTAATCATACAGAATAATTCTAGGGGGAGTCACCAAAGAACTAATTAACCAAAACGTAATCTTTGCTGTTAGCCAAAAAGTAATTTACTGATCTAAATTAAGAGTACCACTCAGGTACACACAGGTAAGTGGCAGTGTTTTTCCCTTAACTATAACTAATCTCATTATAAATAACCAACATAACCCTGGCCAGATTATGCTTTGGAAAAATTTAACAGCATAGCTTTTTTAAATGAAAAATGGGTTAACAAAATTAACATTTCAAATACTGTAATATTTTTACCTGGTCCTTACTATATTCAGGCGGTTGAAGAAAAAATGTTAGAAAGACTTTCATGTTAATTTTAAGGTAAAGAATTGTAATTAAGTCTAATACTGAATCCATATATTGTTAGGCAATCTGTAATAATGGAATTAAATCAGGAAAATAATAAGCCTAGATAAAAGAACTCTAAAAATGCAATTTATCGACTTACCCTTATGGGAGAGGTCACCATTAGAGGAATGATCTTGCGACTTCTGTGTTCGATTCTGTTTAACCTGTAAAAATTGTGATTCATTAGAAATTTAACACTGAGGAGGGAACTTGCATTTAACTGTGTTATTTGATTGTTTTAACACACTCCATACACACACTTAGTCTAATCCACCTGCATAACTCTGTGCTACAATTCATATTTTGCTTTAAGTTTAATTTGTCAATTATTTTTTTATGTTACTTAAAATAATGGCCTCAAAACAGAAATAGTGGTTTTAATGCAAAATATTAAAGGTTTAAAAACAGAGAAACGTTTACTATGAATACAATGGCAGTATTAGGTTGGGTCAGATCAGGTTAGGTTAGGTTTGAATGAATGAATGGATTAAAATAGCATTTTAGTGATGCAAACATTAGGGCCACATGGATTTTTCTTGCAGTTAGCGGCAGTAAATTTCTGTGCTATAGGACTTTGTCGCGGCCTGTGTAGGTCGGATAATCAAGATTTTATCATATGTAGATAGCAAGAAAAGATTAAGAGAATTTTACATTGTAGATTTATGGTCTTTGGGTCGACCGTGTCAAAAACAACTAGACATTTTCATCAATCGACGTTTTGGTCTAGATGTAGAGTGCAGAGTGCAGAGACTTTCCTTCGTGAAGCACAGGCAAGCAATTGTTACGAAAACTGTGGAGAATTCAACTCGTTGATCTCGTACAAAAATGTCAGTTAATAGAAATTTTTTGTTTTTTTTTCTTCGTCGACTCTCAAAGACCTCGAATCCACGATCAATGAACGTGGAAGCCTACCCATGAAGATTAGTTTTACATTGTTCACTACGACTATCTTAAATCTCTTTATATGAAAACTGTAAGAAGTTACCTTCATGATCCTCATGCGCAGGTACTCTATCTTGGCCCTAGAGTCAGCCAACATCTGTTGTGCCTCTGCCAGCAGCTTCTTGTCCCGAGTATGTCCACTGGTCAAACTCTGTATCATGTTCTCTGCTCCTTGCTTAACCTGAAACACAAATACCAACACGGTTAAATTAATAACGTAACATTCTTGTTACCAAGACTGCAAAATTTAAAACCTATCGTCAGCCCTGTTAGTTAGTCAAAGAGTTATTAGACTCGTATCATATGACCAACAATCTAATCCAAAATCAAATTGGTCTTGGCAGGATTCGAACCTGAGACCTCGAGGACCGAATCCTGCACTCTACTACACCAGCTCACCCCCTATTCTCATGGTATTTGAACCACACATAGTCTTATACAATGTGTTATCATCTCACGATACTAACATATGATAGACAACAATTACGATGTTATTTGCATTCTTCAAAACAAAAACTCAAAATGCACCAGGTGTTTTAGCGAGGAGAGGAGCAGGGGGGAGAGAAGAGGGGGTGGGTGTTGTATTTCTGTAGCAGTATCCGTGTGAGATCTGACAGTCAGTTAACAGCTGTTCTTGTAAACATTTCACCTGAAAGTTGTCAACTGGCAGCTTGACAGCAGATAAACTCTGTCACAGCACCTCCTTCCCTCTTTCCTTTGCCTGAGAACCTTTGTCACCACAGTATCTCTCAATAGGAAATGTCATTAAACAGCTTTGTATTCACTTGAATGTTTAAATCATTGATATCTTTCCAGTAATATATTCTTGATTGCAAAAGTTTTAGTCTGTCAGTAACTGGACAGTGTAAGTTTAATCAGTTAAAAATTTAGGAAAACAACAAGAAATTTAGAAGTTATTAAAAAAAAGAATTAGAATTGAACAAATAATTTTTACGAGCACATTAGATATATTTACCTTTCAAATCATGGTAACAGATTACAATCACTCCTTATCTCTGTGTCACACACAAAGTTGAATATTTTATGGTGAATGTGATTGTAGATGAAAATGCAGGGTGAAATTAAATTAGATAATCTGTTTAGGCTTGATATTTACTCCGAAATTGATCTCTGAGATCTATTGACTTCTGGACCCAGTTTCAAACCGGCCAAAAGCTATAGACTTCTCAGAATTAACCAGCAATCTGCCATGGTAGGCAACTTAGACAGACAACTAGGCGAGAACAATAACCACTCAGCTTAACTGTTATTTTTATTCATACATGAATTTAAAAAATACCAATTGATCTGAGAAAATCCTCAATCCTGATCTTGAATAATTGGGAAGATGGTGGATTAAACCCAGTTAAAACTAAAAACATCATATTATGAAGCACAGTAGAATAAATGAAGCCAAAAAGATTGGTACAGTAATGTTTTCTAAGTGTGTTTTCCAAATGTATTTTGCTTAAACCTCCAATATCCTTGTTCTTCAGAATCCTTGTCAGTCAGATCCAGGGTCAATGCAATTACATAGTTACACTGAACAGTCAGGAAAGTTGTAAGTAATTTACACATGAGTGCAATTTTCACACATCATTAGGGGCAAGGGTATAAAATAGGCCTATGTATGAAAATTTTTTCTTGAAAAAAAAATAAATGTTATATAATTTGACAAACAACAACCATTTTTAAAAAAGGAGTCGTTTTTCAAAATTCCTTCCAAATTAAATTAAGTGTAAAAAAGTGCCACGTAGCCCTTACTTTGCCTAAATAAATCAACTTTTTTTATTTCATTTATATTTTTTTATAATTTAGAACCACAATTTACATTAAAAACCTTTAGGGTTTTTTTCAATGCCGCAAAAGTAAAACAGGTTATAGTAATGCCTTTCAATACCCAGTAGGTATTGGGTAACAAGTATTTGTTATACAAGGAATTAATTTAAGTCTTGCTGTATTGTTTAGAAAATGCAAATGAATCAAAGTATATTTTGTATTACACAGCAGGGCCAAGATTAGTGGTACCAATACATAATATTATGTATGGGTTTTTATCCAATATAATGATAGTACAGTGGTATAAGGTGAAGTCAAAAAAGTACCTAAAAGGCGGGTCTAAACTGATGTATCGCAGCAATACAATATTCAGATTTTGATTCCTCGTTCTTCTGTATTGCGTGTAAATAAAGCAAAATTGTTACATTTGAGTATGAAAAACTTTTCCTCTCATAATAATAATTGAATATTGTTGCAATTTCTATGAAAGCACAATACAACGAATAAATCCCCACAAACAAGCCTATTATTTTGACAAACACACAAATTTTAAGTTTTATTTTTCAGTTAAATGTTTATGTATTTCAATAAGAACAAGTGAGAAGGAACGCAGGGTAACCTATCACAAGTTATTTGTCATCAGCTCAGCTGTAGCAAGAGCAAGGCAGGGGGAGGGGGAGGAAAAGTAAAATGCTGGGAGCGCCGCCAGTAGCAGCACCTGTCACCGGAACCGCACGTTCTACCTTCCACACTTCCACTTCCGGTCGTAGTTCCCGCCATTCCGCCGCCCGCGTACCGGTCACCCACCGGGTAGCCGCCCTGTGATGCCTCGGTCGTACCATCCGTGCACACATACATTAAAATCGTAAAAAAAATAATTATGTATATAAAGAAAAAGTTCTTTTGTCAAAAACACCTACTATTTTCTTTTTCTAGATTAATGGACCAAAAGCTCCTAACCACCCGGTTATAATGTTGTCAAACTGCTAAAAGCAAAATTGGTGATTTGCTAATTTTGAGCATATATATACCTCAGGATACGAATGCCTGCGGAAGTGTTTTTAATTGCAGGGTGAATAGCTTTTTGGACGACAATCCAAAATGCATTGAAGACAACTAATAATATTACCTCTACCAAACAAAGGACTGTTATAAAATCTTTGTTTGTCAATGTACGTTAAAGCCAGAAACATAATGTCCCAAGACTAATTAGAATTGCGTATTGAATACAGATACAACGATAGGTTGATAGCCGCTGAGTTGGAGGCTCGTCGAACGGCGAAGCAATAACATCAAACTATGCTAGTGAGTGACGAAGTGTCTTTGATTACAGTAATCTGTACTTCCACGTCTGAACCACGGCAAAGGGTGACTCGCACACGAGCACCAAGCATAGACAAGTCATCAGCTGTAGTTGTAAACTGACCTCAAAATGCAATACCTCCCACCTTACCCGAATAATTTGTGGCTCTCAGTTCAAAATTTCTCACTGAAATTTAAATCATAATATGCTATCGGAACCAAGGCTTTCAAGGACAAATCAATTAATTACACAAGTCTTGAATGGCAATTATACCACCAGTTTACAAGAAAATAACTTTGTTGGTTATATTAAACCAAGCCACTTTACTAAAGCTTGGAATAGCATAGGAAATCGTGTTGTTGTTTAGGATGGCGCCCCATACTGCCGCGGGTTATAATACATCGTTGATAACTTCAACAACAAGGCCCGGTTTCAACCACGACAATAATCTTTTAGATTACAAACATTTCTGTGGGGAAAATAAATTTTAAGGAAATTTTTAACATAACAGCTCAATTTTTTTACGGTTCTGAATAATTGTCAAGGTCAGCTAAATAGTCTAACGCACATTACAAACGATCCAATTTTTAACACGGTTGATTAATATTTACAGACGTAATTTTTTTGCAAACCGTGGCGATCTGTTACGAATCATATCAATCATTAGTTTAATTAATTTCAAAAACGGTCCATCAAATCCTCACGTGATACTATAGTATGTTTTGCACCGACGACGCAAGCCAACACAAAAGCCTAATGAACAGATAGAAAGCCTCTTTAAGCACAATGAAAGAGTAAAACGGGTTCTTTTGATTCCAAGTAAACCTTCTCCATTTTAGATGTTCAAAATATCGTTGCTAATTTACACCGTTTGTTTGGCAAAACTTGCAAACGTGTGCAAAATGAGCCAAGAAAACGAAGACTTATTGACAGCTAGTTGGAAAAGGGAAGTCCATTGAAAATAGTTATAAAACAGGAGACCTTTTACTTTGGATACAATACCGTGCAGTAGACATTTCATTTTCATGTGCAGAATTGTAGCCAGGTTTTACCAGTTTTACATGAAAAAGGACTTAGCTTAATTGGACTATTGACAGTGTGTTACTTTAAAATACTGCTGTGCCTGCTTTCTTATTTACTGACGTCCATAATTTTAGGAAACTTTCTTTATACTAGAGCATTTCTCTCGCCCATATCAACTACAGTAAAACAGTTAAAAAATAGAACTTCAGCAGCACACTACTGTATTCAAACTCAACTATGATATCCTTGAGTTAAAACTTGACTACAACTGGCTCATAAATGCTACATGAAACCTACTCAACTACTTTAGAACTAGGCTACTTTATAACTGCTACTTTAGAAACCTAAGTCAACCTAATAACATCGACCGGTTTGTTGCCGTCCCTAAAAATTCTAGCATTTAAAATCGTTTACCGGCAATGATTAATATGTCCGGAACATAAAAAATTCAAAATTTTACCTTAGTCTCTGAAAGCAAAAACATACGTGGTCTATTATTTATCACGTCTGAGATTTTAATTCAACTTACGTTGTATGCAATACTTTCGTTTCGTCGTACATTCGGTATTGGACAATTTTAGGACCTGTCGATAAATAGTCACAAAAAATAAATCTCGAGTAAATTACACCAGTGTGGTGGAATCAACGGAACATAGCTGTTGTTTAGTGATACTGTAATAGTTCACGTAATTCTCTTTCCTCACAACAATTGGTCTTCGCCAAAGCAGAAGCAAAGCATAAGTGTCGACCTTGCTGGATAGCAGTCTTTGTCATTAGTTCCATATTAGGAAATAGTAATTGTGCACGTGCATCGCAAATATACGTTCCTTAAGAGTTCTTGTGGTCTAAATTGTCAATGCACATTGAACAGCTCGCGTAAGTGTGTATTGGATTACTATAGTGTTCAATGTATCCTTGGGAAGTGTTGTGCGAGGGATAGTGTTGAAAAGCAGGTAGTTGGGACATAAGGGATTTAATTGCATCATCCTAAATTATAATAAAGAAGTAGCTAGAATTTTAAGTGGTGGAGAGACTTCCATATTATTTTGTGGCACCATGTATTCCTAAGATATTTTCAGAGTATACATAGAAACAAACATGCATTATAATTACACTGATGAATAGCAAATATATCCCATACTATAACCTGTAGTATATATTTTATGTTTATTACCTTAAGCTCGATGTTGAGCTGTTTCTCCAAGGAGACCAGTCGGAGGTCGTTGGCGAACCCGGAGTTCTGCGGGGCCGCCACCACCGGCGACGAGTATCCATCTGCAACAGAAATCAGCCTACTTTAATACAACCAGCAATAACCAAATATATTCTGAGGAGTCCCTGAAAAGCAATGTTGTTTGAGGTTTTATGTCTGACGTGTGACTACTGTATTTACCCCAATGATCTAGTTCTCCTGTGTAACTTTACACAACTATTCAATCGTTCGAATCTAGAAAATTTGCATGATTTGCAAGATTTCAAAATATTGGATCAACTGTTGATCCTTCATCATAATCGAATACTGTAGCACAGTTAGAGTATCTTCATCGAAGCAATTCTACAAGAATGGTATTTTTTTATCAATTCTTCTTAAGCCTATAATAAATTGTGATTTGTACACTCTGATTACTGTATTCTCCCACATTTATTGTTTAGAAAAGGAGTTACATTGTGGACATTTATTGTACATTTACAGTAATAAAGCGTTTCCAAACAAACGCCTTTCTGTACTCCTGATTTATTTTTAGCTGAAATGTGATCCCCTCTATATTTCATAAGTTTAAAAGGCACCACAATAACTTTGAATTAAAGGGTACATACAAGATTCTACAAAACAAAAATTTTAGAACACTAGATTTGGGTGGATGAACATAATTAACAATATAAAACATAAACCTGAAAATATTTCTTCAGTATAAAAGTGTGCAACATTGAAACACCTCTTGCATGGAATACAAAGGCATCTAAGAAGTGTATTCATATTTTTTATCTCGCTTGTTAGTATTCAGATATAGAGTACTTTGTTAACAATATCACTGTTTAGTTTCTGTATTATGAACAATGGAGATCTGTTCACTGCACAGAATATGAACAGTGAACAGTTCATAGAAAGAGCAATTAAAATGTAAAAAATAAAAATAAAAATTGTAATAGCGCTGAATCCTATTATCTCCATTAGTATCGGTTATTAAACAGAAGGAAACTTCATTCTAAAATTTTAATGTTGCAAAAATTGTAATAAAGAACACAATCGTGATATAAATCAAGGCTATTAAGTCTACATATAAAACTACATGTACCGTTAATCCGCCACTGAAGGACAAACATATAATTTGTGTATAATACGAACTACCTTTGTACTCATTTCATTCTTAATGCAGCCTTGACTTTACCTCAGTTGGTTATTGTATGGGCATAAAATACTGTGATTTTATTGTGTAACTAATTTCAACCAGAAGTACAGTATATAAAAGTGTCCGGTGGTTTAAGCTGCTGTGTCAATTATTTTGCTTAACTCGGTTGGCTTTGCCAGTAGGTTAGTAGATAATTATAATCATGAGGTAGAAATAATTTTTAATTTTTATTTGAGACTAGCTGTTTCCGTGCTTTGCAATGGGAAGAGGATACGAAATAGAAAGATTAACATTTTTACATCTGTTGTATAAAATAGTTACACATCCGCCAACCCTTTTTAGAAACAAAATTCAACCTTTGTGGTCTTTATAGAAACGTTTTTGGCTTTTAAATCTGGTTAGTAGTGGAAACCGCCATTTTTATTTTTATTCATTTTAAATCTTGTGTAGGCTGATATGAGAAAAACCTAATGGAGTATGTTTTATCAATGGAAAAACGTACCTAATTTTCAAATACAATTTTCACATATATGATTTACATTCATCTCCATTATTTACACATATTTTTTTCTTTTTTTTACATTCTTAAATTTTAATCTTGAAGTTTCAAAACTACTAATTATTAAATTTTAATGAACAAATTTTTAGGTCAATCTTCTTTAAATTAAATCACTAATCCTTCCATCTTCACTCAGCAACACTAACATCAGCTGTTATAAACCTTCGAAATATTGTTGTGCCTTATCAATAGTCTTTTGAATTATTAAAGAAACAATCTATACTATAAAAGGTTGTGAATTATTAATTTAGCTCGTAAGTAGTAATGCCAATAAGAATTTATTTGTAGTATCCACCATACCCGTGTTTCGCAACGGGAAGAGAACGCTTAAGAGAATAATTATTATTCCATAGATCTGCTGTATATAGATAAACTTTTAGTAATACACTTAATCTCAAAACTTTAAAATATTAACTGGATACATTCGTTTCCCAGACATTATTTTTTGGGAAATAAACCATACAAATCCATTAGGTTTTTATAAACATTTTGGAAAAAAGAAAGTCAATAAGTGAATTTACTGAAAGACATTTAATTCTTTTAACGATGGTACTGTTTTCTGATACGAGACCAGATTGCAAAACACGGCGTCACATCCACAAACACAATTGCCAAGTTTTGAACGCGAATGTTCAAACAACTTCATGTAACACTCAATTGGCACTTGTTCCCGCCATAACAATGCCACGAGTAAACATGGACGTGAGTATTGAATAAACAACTGAACAAACGCTACCGAATTCCCGACAATGTATGGGTACTCTATCACATCAATACATTCTCGGCATTACAGGTTCACAAAATTATGGACACCATTCGGATGGGTTATCCTAGGTGGCGGAAACGTTTTCGGCACAAACTCTTAACAAAGATAGAATAGCTGTTTTCGTAGATGTCAAATTCGTCGGCTGTACTCTGAAAAAGCAAAATCACAAAATCATGCACTAAAACATTCATAAATTTGCAGCAGTATTCGGCTACCGGATTCGGCAGCTAGAAACTTTGCCTTTATTACAGTTAGCCTAACTATTTAGATCCCGTTGAAAGCTTAAAACCACGAAAAAAATTACCGACATTCTAGATAGGTACACAAGTTAAGGTGATAAGTAGACGTGTGTACACTACAGCACCTGAGTTGTGACAAGACCAGGAATTTTAGATATAATACATGGACAAATAGTTGTTACTGAAATAAGAGTTATTGAATAATAACACATTATTACCCCATCAACACCGGTGATGTGCTAACTACACCAGAACAGTCATTTGGAAAATATTTTTGACGAGGGTATTAATAAAATATATTGAGTGCCGTACAACATATCCAGTAATCATTTAAAACAAACCCAGCAACAACTACTGTTCTACAATAATTTCATAACGCAAACTACGGTACTATACAGGCAACCGGTTGTATGGAATGACACTTATGTGGAAGCAGATAGAAAATTCGTTAAGCAAACTTAATATTTACACCCACGTGTGAAATGACTTAATTTGTCTGTGGTGTAGTATAGTAATCGTTGATTTGTGTGAACATCCATGATTAGTGAACCAGGCAAAGATTGTTCAGGTCCCTCCCTCACATTCCGTTTACAATTCTCACTTCAAGCGGAAACAATCCAGTAAGAGTTGAGAATACAGTTGAGAAAATGAAAGCACGCGTTCAAGACCATCCGTCACCATTTCAACTTCAAGGGTTTGCACAAAGCGCAATGCGACAATTAAAATACCAAATGTATGACACGGTGTGTGTGCAACTGCAGCCAATGAAGACAACTCCGAGGTAGTGTATCACGCAAGTCTCGTAGTTTCTAGTTAGTTTAATTGTCTACACAGAGCGGAGGCACGACACGGGCGCGACAGGTGTGTGAGACGTAATCCTTGGCCATATCCGGCGGTTGTAACCCGGCTGCGGCACTACACCACACAACCACACACCAGACACAGACCCCCCGTCAAAACATACGTGGCGGAGTTGGAACACGGTACTACAACCACATACGAGACACAGACTCCTCGTCAAAACATACGGTGCGGAGTTGGACACGGTATTACAACCACATACCAGACACAGACCCCTCGTCAAAACATACGTGGCGGAGTTGGAACACGGTACTACAACCACATACGAGACACAGACTCCTCGTCAAAACATACGGTGCGGAGTTGGACACGGTATTACAACCACATACCAGACACAGACCCCTCGTCAAAACATACGTGGCGGAGTTAAACACGGTGTTACAACCACACACCAGACACAGACCCCTCGTCAAAACATACGCGGCGGAGTTGGAACACGGTATTACAACCACATACCAGACACAGACCCCTCGTCAAAACATACGCGGCGGAGTTGGACACGGTATTACAACCACATAACAGGCACAGACCCCTCGTCAAAACATACGTGGCGGAGTTAAACACGGTGTTACAACCACATACCAGACACAGACCCCTCGTCAAAACATACGTGGCGGAGTTAAACACGGTGTTACAACCACACACCAGACACAGACCCCTCGTCAAAACATACGCGGCGGAGTTGGAACACGGTATTACAACCACATACCAGACACAGACCCCTCGTCAAAACATACGTGGCGGAGTTAAACACGGTGTTACAACCACATACCAGACACAGACCCCTCGTCAAAACATACGTGGCGGAGTTAAACACGGTGTTACAACCACACACCAGACACAGACCCCTCGTCAAAACATACGCGGCGGAGTTGGAACACGGTATTACAACCACATACCAGACACAGACCCCTCGTCAAAACATACGGTGCGGAGTTAAACACGGTGTTACAACCACATACCAGACACAGACCCCTCGTCAAAACATACGCGGCGGAGTTGGAACACGGTATTACAACCACATACCAGACACAGACCCCTCGTCAAAACATACGCGGCGGAGTTAAACACGGTGTTACAACCACACACCAGACACAGACCCCTCGTCAAAACATACGCGGCGGAGTTGGAACACGGTATTACAACCACATACCAGACACAGACCCCTCGTCAAAACATACGGTGCGGAGTTAAACACGGTGTTACAACCACATACCAGACACAGACCCCTCGTCAAAACATACGCGGCGGAGTTGGAACACGGTATTACAACCACATACCAGACACAGACCCCTCGTCAAAACATACGTGGCGGAGTTAAACACGGTGTTACAACCACACACCAGACACAGACCCCTCGTCAAAACATACGCGGCGGAGTTGGAACACGGTATTACAACCACATACTAGACACAGACCCCTCGTCAAAACATACGGTGCGGAGTTGGACACGGTATTACAACCACATACCAGACACAGACCCCTCGTCAAAACATACG